TCTTCCATGATGCCACCACAACTGTCAGCATGACCATGCTGTTAACTAAAGCAGAAATTCATCCAGCTGAGAGTAAACAAAATCAGAACAAAACCAAGCAGATCAAAAAAACACCATGGAAAAACTATTTATCATTTTGTTTAACTTCCCCTTACTGTGCTCTCACTTGCGCACTCCTGTCATTCACCCTGGGCCAGTTCTGGCACACCCTTGTTGCACAGCAAGCTGAACCAATTCAATAAAATGCAGGGGGAAATAAAAAGAATTTATTTTTTTCTGAACCAAGCTGAATTGGCTGGTATTTCCCTCAGACAAGAAACATACCTGGCACAAAGCGGGGTGGCAGGAGCTGGGAAACTGAGGAGGAGGGAATTGAGAAGGGCAATGAGACAGGGTAACACCTAAGGATGAGATGGTGACAAACTTAATTCCGCTCAGCTATATCATGAAACTATACCCTGAGTATCTTGTGAAATCTAAACCCATTTCTCTTATGAATACAAGCTGCCTTGGATCACAAGGCCAGGTGGAATGCCTGACTCTGTTTTGCCATCTATGAAATGGGGATACTAAGTAGCTGTATCATCTAGTCATATTTAATCTAAATATATCCTTACAAAAGGATGCTTCGAAAACACAGACAAACGTTAAAATAGAAAAACAGACCCATAAAATCAAACCAAATAACCCTCAACCAGAAAGCAAAGTCCCTGCTCCCTAGACAAACTGAAATACTTTCAACTGATGAATTATTCATTTTGTTTAGAGCAGAATTTTCAGTTATTTTAATTTAATCTTTCGATAAAACATATACTTAAAAAACAACACTCAGACCTCCCCTTCCTCCCCCCCCTCAATCTTTAATGGCACCTAACAGAAATGCCTTAAAACAGGTATACAGTCATTCGTTCTGCTGCCAATCTTGGATGTTTTTTTGCCTGAAAAAGAAGATAAACCTCAACTCCAACATATGATGAGAAGCACAAATCACTTGAGGAAAAAAAAAAGAAAAGGACAAGACAACACAGTTTCATTAAAAAGAGAAAACCTTAAGGAAATTTTCAATTTCATAATTATAATGAGAGGGGTTGAAAAGAAGTAAAGCAGAGAAAAGAAAAAAAAAATCTGTGGGACAAGATGTAATGAAAAACACTAAACTGAACCAGAGACAGACTTTCAAGTTTAACCTCAGAAAGGACTATTGTAGTCTTAGCTCTGTTCCCAAAGGAGGGTAAGCCACACGCCATCACCACCACACACAAAACTCAGCATATTTCATGAGCAGGAGGCTGAAGAAGAGAACAGGTCAAGGTTGATATCACTAGAACAGCAGCGAGAGGGAGCTTGCACTGCAGTTGTCTGAACCACACCTAGTCTGCAGTTAAATATAGAACTTTACTTTCTGGAACTATTGCTCCTCTTAACCTTCAGAGCATAAATATTCGGAGAGATATTTAAGAGCAAAAAAAAAAAGGGGGGGGGGGGGGGGAAGAAAGAGAGCTGAATCTATTGTCCGAAATCTAAGCCTACCAACTAATAAACTAGCCTGGGAGAATTTCCAAAAAAGCAGTGAAGACTGGAGAATTGAATTACAGAAACCACAAACAGCATTCCGGAAATCCAGTATAAACCAATTAGTTTCTTTAATACACATACCCTGTATACAGACACTTATGTACATTAGACATTTAAGCGTATGTGCTGACCCTAACTCTAATCTTAATTATATCAGGTTGGCACCAATATAATAATTAATTGCACTAGCATTTTTATTTATTTTTTAATAAGAGAAACTAGCCCTTCAACCCTCACCCTCCTCATGCAGTTCATGTGCCAAATCCTGACTGGTGCTGTGCATTTTCAGTTGGAGAGCCTGCTCCTAGAAGCAAACCTCTCTAATTTTGCAATCAAATTCAGATTCTTTCCTTGAAGTACTCTCAGCTGGTTTGACACATCGACTTTTAGCAACTGCATTTCTTATCAACTGAATCAAAGTCAGAAGCACATACTACAATTAACTGATATAACAGCCCAAGACTTTGATCCTCACCAAAAATATGTTTACATAGCTTCTCACCAACGTTTCAGAATTTATAGGAAGAAGTAATTCTGCATTACCTCCATGGGTTTCCATTAAGGTCTAGATCCAGCCCTCTTCAGGCATTTAACTAAATCACCAAAGTTAGGTCTAATTGCACAAGGCATCTCTTTTGTAGCCAGAGAGGAAGGAGCATATAACCCTCATACGAGTTGCATTAGTGGGATGGAATTGCCTTCTAGATTTCTATTTCTCATTGCTGAATAGCTAGAAACCAAGATGAACAAGCACTTTACTGAGGTTCCCAAATAAGAATCTCAAAACTAGGTGCCTAAATCCCTGCGTGCACCAAAAACTAGGTGTACCATCAAGATGCTGCAGGACACACAAACATAATGCAATTAAATTTGCACTGATTAAGGAAAATAGTCCATTAAACTGAGTAAGATGCCTCCACTCACAATCAAAACTTAATCCTTCAGAAGAAAACGTAAATTACCAGAGAAATGGCACCAGACCACATGCAATGCTGAACACCATTTCAGTGGGCCAAATGCTTATTCCTGACCCTATGGCATCCAGTGATCCTGATCTGCTTGGGCCAGACAGCCAGGAGTCTGGTTACCTCCAACCTGGCTGCTGTTAATCAGCCATATTACTCACATGCCTAGAGGACTCCAGTGACTTATAAGTGAAATTAGCTTCTTCCTAAGGCTCACAAGAGGGTACTCCTCTCCCACTCTTTCAAAACTTGTCATGTAAAACAGCTCATCCTTACCACTCAGCTAGGCCTATTAAAGTGTAACAGTTAAACAACCATAGTCCTAACTTGCTTTATGGTGTAGTTTTACTGTCACACGAAGCTTTTACCACAGCTTGAGTTTACTGTGTTCTTGCCTCAAGTAAACGTCCTCAGCCATGCTTTCCAGTACCCACACCCAAGGCTGTGAAATCCAGTGCTCGCAGTGACCTAGCAAAGGTTTTGCAAATAAATATTAACGCCAAGATTAAGACAATGTGGCAAGAAGTCTCCATGAAACAGCAGAATATGAAGAAAACCCCAGCAGCAAAGACCTTGCAGAGCACAAGACATAGCAAACAAACCCAAGAATGACAAAGAAGAAAAAATTAGATCAAGTGATTATGTACCTGTATATACAACTGAATGATTTCCAATATCAACACTGACTTGCTTCTTTCCATATCCAAAACCAAATCTCATGCCTTTTTAACAGACATATGCCAAACCATTACAGGTTGCCTGACTTCTTCAGAGTGTCACAACAGAGACTGGCTTTGGGAGAGGTCTGAAGGAGGAAAGGGGAGTACTTGCTTAGCTTTCTCTTTCTGCTCTGTGTTCCTACAGCACCTAGCACAAAGGAGTCTAAGGCACTATCATGATTCAAACAGCAAATAACAGCAGTTATCGTACCTCCGGCCAGACGGAAACCAAGAAAAACACCCATGCCCAAAAATCTCTCATTTTACTGCAGAGTAACTCAGTATTTCACACACAGAGGGGTTAATAAGGACATGGTACTATCCTGAAGGTACATAGCGTTGTAATGATTTTGTCATTTTACATATTGCACTCAGGATGGTCATACAAGCATTTTAAAGTTCTAAAGATCCTACTGCACATTGTACCACCTGTGTGGAAGGGGACACCAGAAAAACCCAGTCCCCTACACCATCAGACTTCAGGACTTTGCATTAGTTTGGTCTAGCAAAGCAGAACAGTTTTCAAACATTTACAATATTTCCTTTGGGGAAACATTCAGCCAAAGCTGAAAACATCCATGCAGTGCCAGGACAGAATAGGAAAACAAACACTTAAGTTACTGGTCTCAGCCCTGCTAAGACCCTGTGATAGCCTGTGGCCACACAGATGTATGTCCATCTTGTTTGTAAAATGGCTTGGGTCCCTGAGGGAGCTCAGAGTGTTGGTCTTAGCTTAGGCAAAAGGAGGCACTCTCCTGCTCCTAATCAGTTCCAAAGGCCCATTTTTCATGCAAGAAAAATGAAAGAGAAGCATTATAGAAATGGCAAAAGATCTTAAAAATCTGCTGGCCAAGAACTCAATGGAGTTGCAAGCCAGAGAGAAGTATAGCACACACAGTCATCTGGTGCTTCCATGGAAAGGAGGTTCCTCATGCTCTCAGAGGGAAGATAACTCCTCCCAGCCATTTAGCCCTTACCAGAAATAACATTCATTCCTAAACTACATTTGAGTTCACTAGCCGTTTTCTATTATACAACATTATCCACAAAAGAGACATTAGTGTAAGGAGAGGGAAAGGCAAAGCACATAGGCAGCCAGGAGCCCAGATTCAGAGTGCTTCGTCTCTGCAGGACTGAAGGGCTGGGAGCTCTAATGATCACCTGCCACTCTGCATATGTATTTGAAAGATCCACTTTGCTCTGTACTGTTCCCAGCTCATGTAAAAGGGTTGTAAGAGCCTTTTTGGACAAGGAATCTACTGCTTGTTAGACAAAGTTCTGCATCCTGAACAGTTACAGTGGTGCAGAAATGGCAGTTACCAACTATAAAATAACATGACTCATTATGAGGACATATCAGTAAACTGGAAAAGGAGAAATGCAGAATGTAAAGAGCATGCAGACCCTTCACCAAGCCAGAGCCTGTGTTAGGCTAAATGGAAGGTTTCAGCAAAAGCAAAGGAAGAGCTGAAGACCAATGCTCCCAGACTGAGATATGGACAAGATATTTTAGGGGCTACAAAAAATGAGGTATTGTTCCCAAAGCAGTATAATACTTTTTAAAACAGAAGCAGTAAAATAGTTCCTCTTACTCTATCATCTAAAATCAAATGATTAGATTTTATTGGCTTGAGTTGCTAAAACACATCCATGAAAATGAAGCTGGTGTTCAACGGAGCAGGAAAAAGGATACTTGCATTGGCTTTAAAATGCCCATCTCTGAAACCCCAAAGTGACGTACCTTTCCATAACAGCCAGGCACTCCTTTCTCCATGTGAACCGACTGCCTCGCCGTAGTCTGAAGGTCCCAGAGGTAGCTGTGACTGGGGGAGGCGTCTGTCTCCATTCTGGCTCTTCTATTGGGATAGGAGCGGGTCTCATGCTTAATGTAGCCCCTAAGAATAATAAATAACTGTGTTTCCTAATGGATTAAAAAACATGCTCATTTTCTCACTCCTGCTCATGAAAAAAGACAAGACAGATGATGAAATCATTCAAACTAAAAAAGCAAAGCATTATCAAACACAGACACCTTGAAGACACACAAAGCCAGCTAGAGTTCCCATCCCCAGCCTCCAAGCCAGAGACGTATCAGGTGAGCATGGAAATGTAAGGGAGACATAACTGAGCTGACAGCCTCTTCTAAAAAGCTGTCCGGTCTTCACTGAGAGGAAAGGGTGAGCTATGCCCCAGCTGGGATTTATTTAGGTGTGCTGCTACCTTTTCTGCCAAAAAATGGGAAATAACAGGTTTCTCTTTAATTGTACACCAGTCTCAGGAAGCAAAATGTAAATTTATACCAAAGGTATTTCAACATTCCCAAAGAGCTGAGTAAACACTTGAAGTAGCTCCACCAATAGAAACACACCCTGTAACCTGAACAAACATGGGACTCCGAAGTGCTAGGTTGCCTGAAAAAGTCACCGAAAGCAGATTAACATCACGCCTTTCATCTTCTGCCCCCCTTCTACGGATTCATTTTTCTTTTCAAGAATCCTGAGCTGGAAAGCATCAAGCAAGAGACAAGACTTGGCAAAATGCCTTCAGAAAAGGCCCTTTGAAACTTACCACTGATTCTTTCCACAAGAGAGTCTCTCAGTTAATAAATCAAGATAAATCAAGGAATCTGAAAGACTGATCTTTCATACATCCCTTGGTGAGTATGGGAACCTGGTACAGGACATTAGTACATAAAACAGGGTACATTCTGAAGGACAGCTTTGTGCTCAGTGACTTCTTTTGGAGGGAAGAAATAGCTGTTCTTGTGTGCAAAAAACTTAAAAAACCCCAGTTGTACGAAAAGATAAATCACTACTGGTATTGCATGTGCATACTGAGCTCTACTGGAATTCACGCACTGAACTAGCCTGGATAGATCCAAGAGAAGCAGGCAACTCTGCTCACACCAGGAATACAGTATTGTGCACACGTAAAAGCAGAGCTGAAACAGCAAATCCCTCTGGGTACGCAGACTTACTCAGAATGGTTAGGATTTAATCATGAAAACATACTGTGTTAGTGAAACAAAACTGCTTCTTTAATATAAAACAGAGTAAAAGGGTCAAGGGAATTTAAAGTTTAACCAATAAACAAATTCCTAGAGTTAAAAAGCAAGAAATTAGCTATTTAGGCACTTGGCTGTGTTCCTTTCCAGAAATGCAGTGAGTATTTTCCTTACTGCCAGGGGCTTGCACCGGTGTTAGGTATCAGAGCCCAAAAGAATTTAAAATTCTTTCCCAGGAGAAGTCTCTAGGAAGGGAAGCCCACAAATGCTGCCTTGCATGCATAACGGATGGTGCCTCTTCCTAATTCCCAGCTAATAAGCCTACACAGATTACTTAGTTTTATTGACATGTGAAATATCTCCTATATTACCAATTTATCAGCCATTTCAAGGAAACTTCCTTAACTACTCTTTCTAGTTCTTGCACAGTTTAGGGGTCTGGGTCAGTATCAAGTTGCTAGGATTTAAATATTAAATTAAAAAAGAGTCAGGGGAGAATAGGACAAGAAATTAGCTTTCCCTGAATTGCCTTAGCAGTACACTTTCCCTGCCTAAGGATTTTATTTCAAAAGGGAGAGTATAGAAATCTCAGTGATGCCTAACAATTTAATTGTAGATTTAGATTAGATATTAGGAAAAAATTTTTCACTGTGACAGTGCTGAGGCGCTGGCACAGGTTGCCCAGAGAAGCTGTGGCTGCCCCATCCCTGGCAGTGTTCAAGGCCAGGTTGGACACAGGGGCTTTGAGCAATCTGGTCTAGTGAAAGATGTCCCTGTCCACGGCAGGGCGGTTGGAACTTGATGACCTTTAAGGTCCCTTCCAACCCAAACCATTCCGTGACTCCAGGACCAAGGTAAGAGGCACAAAGTGTTTCTGTTAAATGTGCCTGAGATTTTTTCAGACAAAGGTTGGAAAAAAATCTGCATTTAAAACATAACTTTGCTCCTGCTGCTTTTATGTTCTCTTATTGAACAGAGATGCTTGCTTTGTTTTAGTAGCCTTGCAAGATCAATTTACCTATTTCTCTTTTATATGGGGTAACATCAGTATCAGAAGCAGAAAGGTCAGAAAGAAGTATGCCGAGAATTACAAGCAAGTACTCATCACTGGTTTTTACACACAAATAAAGACAGAAGCATCTGAATGCATAGAGAGGCCCAAACACGCTTGGCTGCACAAGCGGCAAAAGTGGAGGACATATGCACTACTGTCACTTTTGATAAGTTAACTAAGGAGCTTTTCTTCATGGCCCTCAATTAAGTGAGCATTTGGGGATCCCTTTTGTTCTGCTGTTCAAATGCTTCATTTCAATCTTCTTGCCACCCAGCTCCACTTCTTTACAACTTAGTAAGTTACATTCTCGTTACTAGGTCAGATTCTTTTACAAATCCCTCAAATGCTTTTAAGAAGTGGAAATTCTCTCTTGACCAGAATGAGCACAGCAAAGGCAGTATAAGATTTTCATCTTGGTATATGCATCAAAGAGCAAGACATCTATAAGGGGTATAGAGGTGAAGCATCTGGGAAGAACCGCTTTTGCAGACAAAAATGAAATGCAACATCTCTCACTCCCTGCCAGGGCCATGCACCTTTTGCAACAGTACTGTATTTCCATTGTGCCAGGTATGACTTGGAGGATGCTGCAGGTGGGTTTTTGGGAGAGGAGGCAAGAGTGGTACTCTAGAGCTGGAATGCAGCTCTCTCTATTCACAGAACTCCTCATGGCAAAGGCCTGCCTTCTCTCAGCACATCCCAGACACTTTCCTGAAGAAAGAGCATTGCTCTTAGAAGTGTCACATGCAATTGCTGATCCACATCACGTGTCTCAGAGAGGCCCCATCATAAAGGGGTCATGTGCAAAATGTTTGGAGCAAGCCTCAGGCCATCTCCCAGCTCCAAGAAACCATTTCCCGGCAAGCCTTTCCAGCAAGTACCTATCATATATTATACTGATAAGAACAGATGTCATGCTGTATTTTTAGCCAGGCTGACCCAAGATCACATAATAAACACCTTTCAGTTACTTCTGAGCTAGGCTAGATTTGAATCAGCAGCCTGCACAGCAAAACGTTCCCTACAGATCTCATTGCTTGGATAGAGAGGATCAAAACGGACTATTTTCTCTTTACTCTGTAAAACAGCAAATCACCAACAATACATTTCCAGTTCAAATCTCATGGAATACCCAGCCCCTGATTTTTTCTTTTCATTTTTTTCCTTCAGAAGGCTTTTCTTTCATAGCTAAATAAGAACTGCTGTGGGAATAACACAAGAGATGCTACAACTTGATAATAAGTACCTTTCTTTTTCCCTTTTGTTCAAGGAGGAAGAGCACATGGTTTTCTCCAAGGTGACCACAGCTGCCTTTTTATTACAGAAGACTGGCAGAAATAAATATACAGACTAAATGGAAGCAGTCTGTATCCATCTGTAACTTCAACACATCATTTCTAGATGCCAGCTTCAGTTTGCAGTACACAGAGGCAAAAGACACGCTAAACTTACTCATGACAAACTTTCCACATTACCCAAGATCCAGTGCCTGCCAAATCAGGCCAGCAACTACCAATGTAAAAAGGAATATTTATTTATTTATTTAAAACTCACAGGCTCTGAAAAAAAGTCAGAACATTATAGGACTCTGTGCACTCATATACTGGCTTCTGAAACATATACTATTTATCTACTGCCAAAATGCTCTCAGTCCTCTACAAAACACAAGAGATATGGTGCCTGTCTGAAAAAAGCTTGATCTAAATTAAAAGCATCTCTATTAATTGGATTAAAGACCTTTCAAACACTAGCATTTAGCATTGACTTCTTTGTTCAACAAAAAACTGCTTTTCACCCTAATTGGCAACTGCTTCCAGAAAAAACTTTATAATCATTAGTACACTGGAATTCGCATCATTGCCATTAACTCTGACATCACTCCTACCAGGAAAACGTTGATCCAGAAATTTTTGAGCAAGATTATTGCATACACTAGGAAAAGTTGTTTTATTTTCCTGATCCATGAGACTTAGTCTCTTTTGCAATGTTCAAGTCGGCTGTTGACTGAACACCCATCACCAAAGATAGGAGAAGTACAGAACCTATCCATGCAAACTCACAATCAAAATCAAGCAAATAACAAACAGCATATTCAAGAGGTCAAAGCAAGCTGACAAATAAGGAAAGCGATGGAATTGCTGAGTCCCTTCTGCATAGGAGCAACATCCCAACAGCAGCAACATCTCAAAAATGCTGTAAGGCTCCACAACACAAAGTTCTTGGGTTAGCAGACGGAGGACTGCTTGTGGATGATTTAAAGCATTATATAGCACATTACACATTTGAAAAAAGAAAAATAAAATCCTTTTTGATGCATTTATAAGTCCTCTTTTGGTTATATAAGCACAGTAATAGACAGTCCCTGCTGTGAGGAGCTTACAGGCAAGGCAGGCAAGTCACACAATGGAAACAGACCCATCTTTATCTAGGAGATGGGAAAGTGAGGTGCAAAGGCTAAGTCATTTGCTACATGTCGTACAGAAAAACTGACAGAGCCAAGGAAAGACTACAGGTCTGCCAAGTGATCTCCAATGCTTTCTGTACAAAACAACTATTCCTTGTTTAGAGTTCATAAATTGATTATATTTGATATCCTAGTCCTTCAAAACTGTTTCAATTTTAAGCACAAGTTTTCTTTCCATTACTACCCAAACAAATTCAGTCAGAAAATGGACTAACTCTGAAAATCCAGTTTTCTAAAATAAGGAATTGAAGAAAAGGGGGGAACTAAAAGCTCCCAAAGACCTCGCTTTGTCCATTGGTAACTCAAACTTGTAGGTGCTTCTCCACAGAGAGACCTGACTCTATCAGTCAAAGGAGAAGGACTGAGATTTTATTCCCAGCAGCTGGAATTGGATAGATGGGATATATGAGAATATAAAGCCAAATGTCACTTCCTAGTAATTGAGCAAATAGAAAAAACACATGCTAGTCATTTAATCTCTTAGATTTCTTGAAAGGAGGACAAACTTTTGCACTCTACAGAGAGTGCAATGACAGCATTGCTTCTTTTGAACATGGCAGGAAGAAGTTCGCTGATTTTCTCATTTTCTGACCCTAAAGACGACAGCAGAATGGCTAGTCTAGTCTACTAATCACTGGATGCTGTAAGTAGTATCCAAATCTTAGGCTCCAAATTGGTTTTGTAACAGTAATTTAAAGCCAGGGTTCTTTGGACAAGGTTGTACTTTTCTTAATACACTATATACGCTTGCAGGTATGCATGTTAATTATCTCTTGGCTAGCCAGTCTGACCTGCAATATAGTAGATGGCAGTAATTCAAAGCAGTGGATTATCCTACAATAAATAAATAAATACCACCACATTTTCCTCAAGTAGACTTTTCCAACAGCTACAGGAAAACTGAGAGCTCCCTCCTTTACCTCAGTCCCTAGAAATAAACCAAATGTTTCTTGGTTCTAAAGGGAATTTAAATGCATCCAAATAGTCCCTTGGCATAGGCTGAGGAAGCATTTTTCTTTTTACACTTCTTGGAAATGCTTTTATTTGAAAATAAGTTACACTTGAGCAACGACTCAAGAATTTTTTCCATGTGTGTATAAAGAAAAGTGAACAAGACTTTGGGAAAACAGTGCATCAGAGAAGTAGAGGTTAATGTTAAGTCATTTCAATTTAAGCCATAACCTTCAGCGTTGTAAGTCTTCCTTCCTTAGATGTTTCTCAAGAGTGAAAGGACAAACAAGACGTGAGCTTGTGGATATGGGGAAAGAAAGAAGTTTAAGAGGAGGAAGTAAAAATTTTAGTGCTAAGTTTGACATGGCTTCTCTTACCTCGGCACAGAATACTAGTTCTTAAACAGCTCCAAACAGCAAGAAAAGATGCAAGGCCATAAGAAAGATCCACATAACAGTTTTCACTGTTAGGGGAGGACTTTTGTTTTGTTTTGGGTTTTTTTGTTGCATTTTTTTCCCCACAATACATCTTCCAAAACCCCTCTAGTTCTCTCCACTGTTTTGGAGGCATTACCTTGCATAAAAGGTAAGTGGCTGAGAGTTACTTCATAGGGTACAACTTGAGGCTTTCAAAGCAGGTGATACTGAACAGTTGTATCCAGTAACTTTGATAATCCTTAATATCACAATTCCACCCACTGCAAAATCAAGGCTTCTTGGCAATCTCTGCAGCTTGCCAGCACCTTACAACCCCTAGCACTTTCATTCTTTAAAACCATTTTCTAAATAGTTGCTTAACAGAAAGGATGGGCTCAGCCATCGATTTGAACCAGCCCAACTTTCAGCTCAAGTTTTTCATTCTCAAGCCAACTGACAGCTTCAGGCTCTTGATTTTCAGCTTATACACAAAGCAAAAGTTGTAAAGATCTGTTTTCACTGGAATTTTTCTTAATAGAATTTTGGATATTAAAGCCGAGTTCACATTAGGGAGCCTGAGTCTCAGGTTTCTTAAAACAATTAGACAGTTAATTTAATCATGCCATTGTTTAAAGGAAATTGAATGTAAATATTTTGATCTTTACAATAAAACCACCAAAAGGGAAAAATAAGAACTGTTGTCAAAAAAAAAAATCTATGGAGAAGAACAATGGAAGGAAATTAATTCTACTGTTATTTTGAAGATTGCTGGTTAGTGAAAGATAACGAGGAGCTTTTCTTTTTGTATTTAAGATCTATTTTGAGATTCGAAGAAGCAGGTGGGATTTGAGAGGCACATCTCCAACTTACCACTCTAACTATCAACATCCCATCCAATGCAAAACCCTCTGAAGTTATCCCAGAGTTCCTCTCCACAAAACTGCCTATTTTTTTATGCAACATTCTATTATGCAGCCGTTATTAATGTTTTTTATTTGTTTGTTCTGAAAAGCTTCAGCATATATTTCATGTTACCTGACTACAACTTCACTGAAAGCTTCTGATTCCCAGCACTGGCTAGCACTGACAGGACAGGTCAAGTAACAGGACTGAGGAACTGGATGGATACCTATGGATTAGTCAGCTATAGATCATTTACTGCAAAGTGCACATTTGTTCCTACTCTCCTAAAAAAAGTAAACTGGTCAGAGGGAATACCCCTACACGACACCAGACCAAGAGGCGAATGATAAAAAACAGTTTCCATAAATAAAACAGCAGGAGATGTTTAGGCTGTATTTGTTTACCAGGATTTGTCTTCTCAAGCTGGTACCATCTGTAAAATGCCCTTTTCTTCTGCTCACTCAGGTCCGACCCCTGCTGCAACAGCCAATGGGAGATCCGGCTCTGACTGATACCTGTTAAAAAACCAGAACAAAAGATAAAAAAGAGAGAAAGAGGAGGAGAAAGCTTGTTCTTTTTAAAACATTTTAAATTGGTTTATATACTGATAAAATGTTGTCTTAAAAAGCTCAGGAACTCATAATGTTTCAACCACAGAAAAAGTAGAGTTCAATCTTGCCCCCCCTATACCTACCTGTTTTAACTTCTCCCTGCTATCTTCAACTTTACTCAAGGTACATCCTGGAATCAGCACAATCAACCTACCAGCAAAGAGGGTACAAACTGGGAAGCCAGATCTACCACTGACTTGAACTGTCCACAACTTCCCCGATTCCAAAATTTCTTCATCTGTGAAATTGGAACAAGTCCCTTACCCACTATTATAAATAAATAATGATAGTTAGGAGATTGTTATCATTCAATGCTTGAAAAAGAAGGGAGATAAACACAGAAATAGTTTATGTGATATAGATCAGATCAGCCCAGAAATGGAGCAAGCCAACTATCAGTAGCTGTAACAGCAGCCAGAAAACAAAAGACAAAGGACAGCTGTCTGTCAGCAAAGCAGGATTCATGCTCTAGGTATCCACACAAGGTTAGGGACAGAAAGTTCTAGAGTTTTTAAAGCAAGAATTCTAAGAAAATAGTAAAATGGGAAAAACATGTAGAAATTAACAGCTACCTCCAAAGTGTGACATTGAATGAAGGATCAATGCAGAAAGGGAAAAGAAGTGATTAGAAGGAAAAGAACCCAACAATGCAAGAGGTTTAAAAGTGGGCTAAGAGGTTCATTTAAAATATATATGTAGTTTGCTGAATAACTGAAGCAGTACTAGAGGATTTCCAGTGCTTTCCACAAGACTCCTCAGCTAGCAAAAAGGGTTAACAACATCTAAACTCACCTTAGAAGTAAAGTTTTAGGAGCCTCTCCAAGAAACAATATACTGCTGAATACCACCTGTGCCACCACCTGCTTGGTGATAACACTGAGGCAGGTAGAAGGCTGGTTTTCACATGGAAACCAAACTACCTCTCCCCTCTCGAGATGCATCAAGGTTTTATAAGATCTCATAAGCATATTTAACTCATGAAAAACAACCCCCTGTAGTTTTACCACTTCTAATAATGGGAAAAATCCTATTATTTACTATGTGTGGGGTTTGGTTTGTTTTTTGTTTAGCTGTTTTTTGGGGTTTTTGTTTTTGCATTGAAACACTGAAGCTAGTTAACTTTACAATGACACAACTTGACTCTCAAGTATCATATTCAGGGGAATTTTCTCCAACCAGATTTTTACAGTTCGGAGTTTATGCTCTTAACTGTTCTTCCTTAGAGAGGATTTCAGAGCCTATGAAGTTTTAATTGTCCTGGGGAAAAGGGATAGGTGTATTTTGTTTTGAGTGCAGAAGCTTAGTGCTATTCAATAGAGCTCTGCCCACAAAACCTACTCAGGTCTGGCTTTGTTTCCTGTACATCTACTGATGTTCTTAACACCCATTCTCAGAGACTGCATTTGCCCCACAGCTGGAAGAGTTCAGAAACAGCTGGGGCAGTCAGGAGTTGATTACCCCCACTGGGATATATTACTGAGTTTGTATTAGTTGGGAAGTGAAATTATTCAGCTAAACACAGACCTCAGATTCTGCCAAGTTTACATCGAGTAACTGTGGAAGCATACAATTTGGTAGCAAAATAAGCCAATAAAAGTCGATAAACCTCTCTGACCCAAAACAAGGCTTCAGTCTAATTGAAATCTTGTAATCCAGATGCCTGATGGGCAGTGAAAAGACCAAGTTTTGAAAATTTGCAGCTCTTCCCTTATTATTATGATTTTGAAAAGCCATTTCTTTAACACAGTGCTGTGGGTCACAACTGTTCATGTCTGCTTTTGGCTGCTTGGCTCCTATTAATCAATGGGTAACAGCACCATTAATTAACTTGTTTACTACAGTCCACTTACGCTTACGGCAGTGAATTAGTATTTGTTGAGTGTTTGGATAACAACATAAGATACAAATGAAAAGCATTAGTACATAAAATTATAAATAGAGATTAAGTATCTTCAACAAGAGTCTACTGGAAAATCCAAATGCAGCTCAAGAGGCTGTCTGACAGGGTCATAAAGTGGTACAGATGTTAGCCACTCCAGACAATGTGCTCGAGACAAAGCAAAGGAGTAGGAGCCAGAAGATTCAAGCTGTGTACCTCCATGTCCACATTTGACCCATTGCAAGTCCTCAGTGTTTATAAAGTTGTTTCTGCGAAATGGAGCTTTGTAAAGGATGCCGAGATGTACAAATTCGATGATAAATTCTCAGTACATTATTATTTGACTATGGCATCTTGTGAACAGGGCTGCAGTCCATAGCACTTTTTGCATTAGCAAAAAGCCCACAGCCCATCTTGCACTTTGGTTTACACACCTCCATAGCAATGCTGCAACCCCAGAGAACATGCCTGGTATGGCTTAGGCAGCTGATCTTTGGTTTGGTCATAGGAAAGTAGCGGATAACCTCTAGAAGACCTTTTGAAGTTCCATATCCTATCATTCTTTTCTCCTTTTTTATTCTTCTCTTTGTTTCAGAGATCTGTAGTAAGAGCCAACCTTCTTAAATGTTTCCTTTACCTATACCAATCGTCCTGTTTCTGGTTTTAAGATATAAGTATCTTTCATCTGCACCTTAACTTGGTTTAGAGGCCCCAGAATTGTATATTCCAACAGCTTGACTGGTTCAAGGTCCGTAACAGAAGAACTGATGTAGAATCACCTAGATTCTAGTGCAGTGTCTTAATCACAAACCCATCTTCACTCCTTTCAATTAAAAAAAACATACCCCCAGATTGTCACATCAGAGTTTCTTGCATCTTGAGCAGGTTTTGCACAGTTGACTTACAGGGACAATGACTAGTACTATCACCAGTACCCTCCTGTCACACTGTCTATAATCATGCTACTTTAGGAAATTGCACTGGCAGGGAAAAATAAATCAGTCTGCTGCCAGAAGCAGATTAATGAAATAAGTTCTCTGCAGTACTGAAAATACAGCTGTCTTGAGGAAATTCACTCTCAAACTGAAACACAGACCTCCAGGAAGACTGCAATCCTCTGGGCTCCACATCAGGTCATGAAGACATCGTAATAGGACAACTAGTCTTCTCACAGAAAATAATTAAGGAAGAAGTGGTAATCACAAAGAATTACAGCAATTCCAATGTCAGGCTGAGAGAGTCGGGGTTGTTCAGCCTGGAACAGGGAGGCTCCAGGGAGACCTTAGAGCAGCTTCCGGTCCGTAAAGGGGCTCACAAGAAAGCTGGAGAGGGGCTTTGACAAGGGCCTGTAGGGACAGGACAAGGGGAAAGGCTTTAAATGGACAGAGGGAGATTTAGATGACATCTTGGGAAGAAGTTGTTCCCTGTGAGGGTGGTGAGGCGCTGGCACAGGTTGCCCAGAGAAGCTGTGGCTGCCCCATCCC